AATATTTATTGATGAAATTGAAATGGGATTACTTAAATAGAAACTTGAGAGCTATTAGGAAAAGGTATTCATAATATTCTTTTGCGTCTTTGTATTGATATTTTACGAGACGTTAGTTGATTTAAAGCCGTCTCCGTCAAAGCTATTTCGAACTGGTCTAGGAATACGTTTAACTACTATACTATATTCAAGGAAAATCTCGAGAGTTGTTGATGTTGTAGGTAATAATTCTTATCACTGGCCAGCACTATATTTCATCAATTTATCAAGCAGATTAGAAGCGAAATTGTTCTCGCTGTAGTGAGGTGAAACTAGATTCACTTTGAATTAAATAATATCTCAAGTCTTCTCGTATTTATGCTAGTCCGCCTTGTATTTGGCCAGTTACACATTTTTAAAGTGAACCTGCGGCTAAGCTAAACTAATGAAAATGTTTATTTGAGATTGGACCGATACTACGACTGGTGTTGTTTTTTAATTTTGGATGCTTAGACCAAAATCCTCACCTTTTCCAGTAACCGGAAAGAAAATCCAGACATACGTAGGTTTATAAAACCACCTTGCACCAATTAAAACGATGTCTTCGTCATTTCAGGTCGTAGAGTGCCGATGTCACGCTTCATTATAGCGTCCATGTTTACATATTCCGTATAACTCAAATGATGAATAGTTTTATATAGCAGCAGGAACACGCGCCATGTTTATCGTCCTTCCGTCAGTCAGCCGCGAATTAATTCGCTGGTGTCCCGGACGTGCTGTATTGTATTGTTGGCATTCAACATACTATATGGACATTGACTACGTCATTCGCCTGTCAGATATGGACCCGTCATTTATCATGGCCGAGCCAGTCTCGATCCAACGCCTAACTACTGTTTATAATCATTATTATCAGTTAGTTTTAATGGGATCTTGTAAGGTAACTGTAGTAATCGAGTGTCACGATTTTAATTCGTACGGTTGTGTAAGTATATTGTTATTGAACACATACCACAATATTTACAATACTTTCGCTAACCTGTACGATAAGTCATTGCAACGTCACCTACATACCAACACAAAAATTATGTATTTATGTTTTCTTCATACCATCTTGATTGTGGATAAGTCGATAAGTTTATCATTATAGTTATCAGTTTCCTTGAAAAAATAGCACAATCCTTGATAATGAACGATGAATTATATCATTGTGAATATGATAATCATTCGCGATATTGTAATAATACCTACGTGTGTTTTAGTGTTGTACTAAAATAAAGCCGATCATTAATATATTATGTATATCGGACAAGTTTATCACTTACATTATTCACTGGAAATTGCGGACAACTTTTCACAAGCATAATGGTAGAAATATCACGTCGCGTCACTCTCGTGAAGAGGAGTACAAGGTACCAATCGATATTCCACGACACGGCTCTCGTTACTGTCAAGTGATGTCGTGCACTTGATAGCTCTACCTTTTTCGTTTATGTTTTGACAGAAACAAGGGAAAGACAAGATAATAAAAAAATAACTATGATTATATAATACTTGCGGTAAAACGGTTCATAGCAAGATTGGATTCAGACAATAACCAGTCGGACAACTAAATTAGGTAAATTTTATCAGCTTCAATGTCAAACGAGTCACATTGCGTATAAACGGGCAGACCTCTATCTCCTGTGTGTCTACTACGTCGCACGTTGTGAATAGATACGCTGAACAATTACCAGTTGTAACAAACGAGGTATTGTGTTACAAGTGTAAAGAGATGCCAATTGTAGTGTTAATTAGTGTTCGTATCTCGCCCTTTTGTCATGCAAACAGGGCCCGAACTACGGCGACATACACGGTAAACAGGTCTGACAAGTCGCCATTATATATGACTAGTTTAAATAATTCTCTGATGAGAAAATGTTCTGCTGGTATCATGAATTTCACTAGAGCGGCAAAATGTTATTATGTATGTGGTGGCATTAACAGTTTTTACGATTTAAACATGTAAATTCAATCGCGCATAATATTCATCTGTTTGGGAGGCGAATGTTTGTATATGAAACGCATCACTCATCACATTAAACCAGTGAATCGATTTACTTGTGCGTCGTAAGATGCGGCGGTTGATCGGCAAAGCATTACAGAGTATTGGCAACAATGGTAATGTCAGGGCCGGCCGATGTGCACCGGACGGACTTGTAAACACACAAACAATACTCATGTGACGTGCACGCTTCGAAATAGGGTGGCCACCCACTTTTTACATACTTATCGCAGGTCATTCGTGTGGAACCTACGAGGCCGGCGCGCCAAATCTGTAAACATTTCGTGCTATTGTTTGTCTAGTTATTCTTTATTTTTAGCTTTTCATTCTGCAAATTGTCTAGCAACAGTGAGGTACATATTTCGTTGATATTCACGACGATCTCTTTTAGAAAGTTACAGCTGCTAGTCACTGAGCCACCTTCAACAAAGTACTTGACTGAGAGTTTAGATAGAGTAGAAATTACAAGAAAAATAATTTAAAATAAACCTGAATGATTTAATTTCTGCTTTATGCAAGAAACGTCACCGAATTTTACATCGCCAGCCGAGCTGAAGTACCCAGTTACTCATCCAATAAAGACGTTTACGGCTAATGCCTTTTAAATTGTAGTTCATATTACAGAAACCGACTTTTATGAGGTTATTTTTATTTTGGTAGTTCGCAGAAATTCGCACGTTTTATTGTTATATCAACGAACACCGAAGTTTTATAGCTTAAAACTTGGTCCATAAATGTTATTATTAGGCTGCGCAAGACCCTACACTTCCCGTGCGAAATAAGGGGAGTTCCGTATTTCACATGGGGTTGAAGATTGCCTCACAATAGACCTTCGTCTGGCATAATGGTGTAAAGAATTTTAACAATGCGTTAAGAAAGATGTATGTAAGAATACGACACGACTCCAACGGTAATCTCTCAATAGCTCCCTTGGGAAAACTAGACGTCATTGTCAGCCAAGAGTTTTGATTTGCAGAAATAGTCTTATGCTATCAACTTCCCAGTTGTAACCACGTGCGATACATGTTTCATATAGTTTACAAAGACAATGCTCTCACCTTATCAGTGTATTCTATTGTATGTTTAAGATAATTATTTTTGGGCTCAATTCAAATACTCAGAGTAAACTCACATGATTCGCATGTTTGTTTGATCAGGTATGTTTGTTCAGGCGTTGTCTCATGTTGAAATGTAAACATTTTCGTTCTAAACTACTGACGGCAGTATCCCTGGCTATAAAGGTAACATTACCTTGATGATCATGTAAATCTGGACATTCAGTGACTACAATAATATTTCCTGTACGTGAATCTACGAGTTTTTATGTTAATCTGAAACTATCGCCAGTTTCATTTTAGATTTGAAATAAATAATGACGTATTCATTTTGTGTTCAGAAAGAGGTTTTGCTATTATTCTTACAACCGATTCTGCTCGGTTGTAGTCATTTGACCCCAACCTTGGATACAAAGTGCAGAAAAATAAATGCAAATTAGCATCAAGAGCAGAAACATAGACAAAAGTGGACGCATTCAATTAAAATTTACGGAAACTTTAATTGTACGATATTTTGGCGACACGTAATTAAACATACGTGTTGGCTTAGCGTTGTTCGCTAAATAAATACGCACATACGGACACTGATAAAGTGTTGTGTAAACGTGGCCTACGTAAGTACGCGGTGATAATGTTTTTATGGCGCACGCGCACTATGGATTAACTTATACTAAGTGTAAACATTTAAATTGCGCGGAAGCTTGTTTTTGAGTTCTATTAAAAATTATTCTTTTCACGTTGAGCCAGAACAGGCGACAGGATCATGCGCATGGCTTGTAACAGCTACGTAACGGGACATTATCAATGTCCACGATTGTCACCGCTATCACAGAAATGAGTATTGAAACATCGAAATATTGATACCATCACTGCAATCGGATTGAAGTCTATCTTTGGTTTAGTTCGGTTAGACTGCAATTGCTTCATCCAAGCATAAAATCGTTTACATAAACAGAACAGGCGTGAGCCTTTACATTTTTATGTACATTTACTCAATCAATTAACGATATTGCCACCGTGTAAGGCATCAAATCGACAGCTAGGCATGCACGCATTCCAAAGGACTTTAATCATAGATACTCAGTACTTATCGGCAGTCTAATACCTTAGACGATAATACACATAATATCGATTAGGGCAAGTGCCAGGCGAGCGATATGAAATTTATTACATTTGTAATGAATCACAATAGGTATCGATGACCTCAATTTAAGTACATGCCTACATTGAAATGATAGCGAATTATTCGAATTATAAGTTTTCCTCGATTGTTGCTATGAGAGGATATAATGAGGAGGAAAAGTAATCGAACACCAATCGCAATCTATTTACAGTTTTATCTTGTTTTTAGCGACTTGCTACTTGATAGCTTTATGTGGCGATGATAATCGAATATTTTATATAAAAAAATTAATAGCACCGTCTACGGTTGCTAGTGCAACAGAAGTTCGTTAAAAAGTTCTAGCACGTTTATTTTATTAATAACTATTTTTAAAGTAACAATGTGTATGGCTTACTTAGGTACCAGCTAAGTAAATATTTATGTGTCACACACCAGTTCCGAGACTAGTTAACAGTTCAATGAATACGACAATTACCGAAATATCCCATCACGTAGGCATTAGGTTCTTGCAATGTTTTTAATTTGGTATTTTGGTTATCTTATCTAATCATTACACCTAGATATTTAAAGTTACAATATGTAAATGGTAAATGGTGGTAAATGGTGACGAAGCACGTATGCATTTTCAAAAGGACTTAATATATTCTGTAAATCTGTAAGATCGGGTCGTTTCTGGTTAAGGCAAAAATATGTAACCCTCTACTAGACTCGAACGGCGTTTGAAATGCCACGGAAAGGCATGCGAAGAATTGTCAGCTTTATGTCGGTAGGGCGCTATAAGGTAACGTGGTGTACTCACCGTCTGCGTCAACTTCGTTGATCATGTCTTGAAGCTCTGCTTCTGTGGGGTTCTGTCCTAAGGATCTCATAACGGTTCCCAACTCTTTGGTCGTGATGGTGCCGTCGCCATCTTTGTCGAACAGTGAGAACGCCTCCTTGAACTCGGCGATCTGTTCCTCTGTCAGTTGATCCGCCTGGAACCAACAAATAATAATATTAGAATCATTCAATGCACAGAAGATACGATTTTTGTACAAGACTTCTATTGTCTCCTCAATCTTGATTTAAGCAACAACAATTAAAATAATATTTTTATTAAAATGCAGAACGTACAGTGTTGACGACCATTGTTAATGAGTGTCAGATACGAAGAGACGGTAGACGGAACGCAGGCGGTTATCACCGGCGATAAGATTACACTGGAGATTATGTGTAATTACCGGACCGGCCTCGGCGCGTCATACTGCGGTCTTTTACGCCACAGATACAAAATACTGCATTGCCACTTTTATCAATAAATACGGCGCTATTGAGATAGTGAAACAAATACTTCAGAAATATGATTGTTATTTGAAAAATAGGATAACTACTGATAGTGTTTGGCACACAAACAAATTATAGTAAAAGTATGAGCGGGCTTGTGCCCCCCCACTGCGGGTGATGTGCTTTGCTTGTCCTCCAGAATGTAACATGCCAGAAGTATGCCACAAATGTTGTTATCACAAAAATACAGCTGGAACTCTTATCAAATACAATCAATTCATCAGTATTTCACAACAAGTCCAGTATGTGCATACATTTGTGAAATTAAAGAAGTGACATGAGAAAAGTTAAAGTGAATATATTGCAACACAGGTGAAACAATAAGTCACTGTTGCATTACACATGAAGGACATGTAGGGATCATCATTGGTGTCAAAATTGCATTCAGGTGGATCTCGGGATGTATCTCCTATAAATTTTGTAACAAAAATTTGGTGATATAAGCACTAAACTTATAATGTATATTAAAAAATATCAACAGGAAGTATGAACATTAATCTGAAACCGGCAATAGGCAATTTAGGTTTAACAAAAAATGAGGAAAATGTTTTAAAGCGAACCACTATACAACAATTTAACAAAAGTTTTTTATACTGGGTACAGTGATTCAGTCTTCCACACAAGAATTACATATAAAAACTTTTTTATTATAAAAAATGAAACAAGTTTAATCAAACTACACTTTTGGCTTGTAGATTCTCGACTAGAATGACTGTTGCTAAAATAAGTTACATTGCTTTATTTTAATAATGAGAATAAAATGTATCACTTGATATCTACTTCGAAACAAGTTATTCTTGTATCATATAAATAGGTCCAAAGATTTCAATAATGTATGTAAGTTAAATATTAATCTATACTCAGTCATCCGGGTACCTAAGATTAAAAAGACATAAAATAATAGTGACTTGTCGTTTATGTTCTAACATATAATGGGTCTATCATAATGTATTTCTAACATTGGATCTGTTCTCTTTGTAATACCTACATGCACTGTTATGAATATTTTAACAGTTCTGTAGCTAAATTTAGCAATCTTATTAAGGAAAAACAGTTGTTTTACAGTATTATTATTTATCCTTAACATATATATTTGTGTGTTTAATTATTAAGCATCCTTGAACAATAGGCACTGGTTTTCCTGTCGATACATGCAGTAATGTGGGCAGAGCAATCATTACAGCTAAAAATACCACATTAACCATCTCTTATCAGTAACCATGCTATGTTTCATGTTATACCACCATTGTTCTTTAAATAAAAAAATACATACTAGTTTTTATAAGCCAATTATGATTGCACTATTATTCTTGTTTGTGTCAAGCATACAGTCATAGAATCAACAATAATCATTTCAAGGTAACTCAAATTGCAATTAAGTATTTATCATTATCACACATCTAAGATATCGAAAAATGTGATAAGCAAATAATTTTGAATACATTATTGAGCATAAATAATTATACCAAATGTTACCAAGGTCCACTGATTTATATTTAATAACTAGTTTGGTGGGTAGATTGGAATAAGTAAAATGACACATTCAATTCAATCACTCAATTTCATAATGCTGATGCTTAAGTTACTTACTTATACTGTCTCATAGTAGGTACTTAAATGTTATACTACCTTATCTAGATACGAAAAGAGTGACAGTAATATAATTCAATGGTGCAATTCCTTTGCATAAATTGAACATGTCAACCATAAGAGGAATTGACAGCTAATATATCAGCCAAAGACATTCTTCCTATTAGTGACGGACCTCCAAATTAGAATCTGGTTCTTATTAGTACAAGATGTTAGCCTCGAATAAGAATGCTGTGAGTTTACCGAAATAATGGAGAAAGTCGTTAACGTTAAGTAGACCGCGATATCAAGTCAGCTGTGCCAGGTGCGACGATATTTACATACCATTGCGATGCAATGCAATCCACGAAAAGTGAGACGAGTTGGTTGTTCGAATGTACGGTTATAGTATTGCTATTGTTTAATGTCGCAGCCTCCCAGACCGGTGAAGAAACGCGACCCGTTTAGCGAATTGCGTATGAAAAATATAGAAGCGCGCGTAGCGATGAGTCAACGGGCGTTTGACAGTTGCGCCCGGCCGATCGATCCACCGTCAACAGGGCGCGACTAGGCCTCTCGACACCGAAAGAACACACTAAACCACTTGTTTTCTTTGTATTAGAATCCGAGCGCCATTTTACAGCGTCATCAACGGCCGGCTTCAACTCAAACTAACGTCATTTAGCCGGCACCACCTACGAAACTATGGCGACGGATGTTTCTCGACCCTTTCTAACGGTCGTTTTATACAATTTAGAAATCTCGTAACACTCGCGAAATTCCCTACATATCTTTGATTATTGGCCTTGCATCCTGATCAAGACATTGGTTTCGCAGCCGATCCGCAATGCGGTAAAAAACGGCCATCACAATAATATAATGGAGGCCCGTCATCACTATAAACACCGATGCACCACATCCCAAAAATATACCCTGGAATCAAATTAGAATGATCCCCTGAATGCACTTCCGACACCTTTCAGCAGAAATATCACTCACCATTGTAGATTAACTTGGATTATCAGGAGCTACACTAAAAAAATCACAGACTACGCCGCAAAAGCGACCGCACGGATCGACGGTTGAAACGATACTGCCGCCCTCACTCGCGCGAGCGGCCGCGCCGAGAAACTCGCGACCGCGATTCGCTTCGTGTTCGGTCACGAATCGTTCCGAATCGACTATTCGATTCACCGTATTTTCATATCCGTTTTCCGACGCTCGGAATAGTTTTTAACACTACGCTACAATCGTTTCGTTTCAAAACTTTATCACTCGAACGTCCAAGTCCATGTCTCGGGACGCACAACACAGGATTAAATTTGATCCGCAAAGGATAGTCGGTTTTATATCGGGCTGGTGCGGCGGCGTGGACTGGCGTTCGGCGCGCGCCGATTGGCCGTCGCGCACCTGCAATGCGTCACTGCGGGCGCTAGCGGCGACCGTGGAGCGAGTGGCGAGCGCCGAGTGGCGGCCGCCAGCAGCGTCTCACGCCTCGGGCTGCGGCGCGGCGGCTGCTCGACTGCTCCCGAGCACCCCGATGCCCTAGTTCGCGGTCGAGGCGAGGGCGCGCCGCAGTGGCCGCCTGCAAACACCGGTCGTGCTAACGAGATAACGTAGGCTGCCGCACGGGCGCAGGCTTCCCGCCACGCCGCACCACGCCACTGCCTATCGTATATGTCACTAGCACTCATCACGGCTCATGACGCGTCGCATTATTGACGCAACATGGATGCTTATGCAATGATATTATAGCTCATTATTTAGTAACACTAAAAAGGAAGAAAAATATTAAATGGTTCTACCCAAAAGTCTTCATACAGAAAGTAAAATAGGTTAAAATTTTATGAATGTATTGGGTAGTTTAATGTAAATAATTCTATTTAAAACAATAACTTTGTACCGCAAACATGCTACAAGTGGCTCTAGCTACTTAACAAAGTTAGCACCAAACATTTTCAAGTATACTATTTCTCATTTCAGTAATGAAGGTACTAAACTAAGACAATCAATTAACCGATTCGATTGAAACTAGGAATCGATTTGTAACATACTAATTATTTGCCAATCGTCGGCCTCCCCTATAGGATGCAAATGAAGTTTTTTGTTTGTTGTCGGAACTTACAACGCCATCTGTTGGTGAGTTAAAATAGATCAAATAAAAAACCGTTACTCCGACCGAGCCCCAGTAATAAATTAATTTTGATATTTTTACCCACATTATAATGTTACTGTGAATGATAAAAGATTTTTACTTTTTTCGCCAGTTCCAAAGAGTAGATCAAAGGGTAGAAAGGTGGGTAGTGTTGTAGTAGTGTGCTCTGGTTGTATTTTCGTTTAAGTTATGATGACTCCCATGCAATAGGAGACGAGCTTATTGCTATAATATGAGATCGAGACAGAGAGTTATAACTGTTTTTAGTAAATTTAAATATATTAATATGAACACTTTTCTGAATCTAGATAAGTACCATCAATCTCTGACCCGGAAAATCAATTGGCTGATCATATAAAAAGTTTAGTCGTGGTGGCCCGAAAGTTAGAGCGTCCACTTTTTAGGGCGGGCCCCATATCTGCCAAGTAGTAATGTGACATTTTCCCAGTTTTATCCACGGACTAATTTCTAAAGTATAGATAAGTTTGGAATTTCTATTTCACCTTGAGAAAGCGTGCCTCCTCACGCAGACAACGTATGACTATTTTTATACGCTGCTCGTGGAGCTCAGTAGAGGGCGCTTAGGTATATTCTGATGAGGATGGATGATGATGATGATGACGAAAAGCAGCCGATGTCTTAGTCACTGTCTGTGTACGAGCACATGGATACCTAATCTATTCTAACTTATTGAATTCTAATAATTCATAATCTAATTTTTAACCTAATTTAAACCTTTATTTTTGTAATATCCAAGAAGTATTTATTGTAGGGTTTTATTGAGATGCCATCAGAATGTATTTATTACTAACAGCTATTTCAGTAACGCCTTAAATAACGACAATAAAAGTTGTCTTTTATAGCGTGAGACACACGCACGACAATATTCGATATTGGTTCGAACACAACGCGGGTAAACAGACAACATTGTGCTCCCCCGCATTTTCGACCTTATTCTCCTAATATTACGAGCTTATACTCAATGGCTGGAAGGTATGTACACAGTTCACCGCATATGAGGCAGTTCATGCTTATATTGAAATTCCTTGTCGTAAGAGCATGGGTGTATATGAATTAAAGTTGCGACTAAAGGTCGACACTATGAACATACGTGTCCATATTATACTTAAAGATATTTAAAAAAGTTTATTCTAATAACCTTCTTTACTTAATATTACAATCCTACTTCTTACTTTGGGCACCCTGGCTTCATCCCCGGTGCAATTCTGATGCTAAGTTTGTCCACTATTTAAAGGATGTTATTATACATTAATTGTCTTCCTCTTCAATCACTAGATATCAATTACACTCAGTAAAAATGAAAGCGTTTATACTACGTAATGACATGTAACTTTATGAGTTTAGTATTTAAGTGTGGGAGAGCCATGCTTCGGCACGAATGGGTCGGCTCGACCAGAGTGACACCACGGCCTCACAGAATACCGGCGTGAAACAACCCACAGCGTTGTGTTTCGCCGTGTGAGTGAGGTTACCGGAGGCCCAATCCCTCCCCTTTCCCTATCCCTTCCCAATCCTTATATCCGCAACCCCCATCCCCAAAAGGCCGGCAACGCACTCGTAACTCCTTTGGTGTTGGTGTCCATGGGCGGCGCCGATTGCTTACCATCAGGTAATCCGTCTGCTCGTTTGCCGACTTATACAATAAAAAAAAAAAAAACGCTCGGGTGTGGTTATCTGGGCGCTTACTCGCCGTCGCTTACGGTGGCCGAAGATCGTCTCTCGGAGTTATGTTAGGTGATTGAACATTGAAACGTCAACAGTAACGGTCATTGCTGCGATGAAAAAAAATAGTACCTATAATATTTTCTATTTATAAAATCACGTTGGCCTTTAATCCACAAATACTACCTATGTTAATATAATAATAGCGTGGCGTTTCTGTCATTCGTCACTTGCATTCGCATGTAAATTCTATGCACCAAGAATACCGAGTTCTTACATCTAAGACCACATGTTTTATTCATGGTTGAAGAATTCAAAAGAGCGTAAATTTTGCAGCAGATTGTAACAAAGTTACCAACCTAGGTTCAGTGACAATGAAACACAATCAAAAAGAATTTTTAAATCAAATTTGCGAATATTTCAAAAAAGTTGAGGCGGACAATTTTTTAAGTCGATGCCTTCTGATTTTAGTGTTTGAAAAGAACTAACTGTAACTCGTTTTAGAAGTCTGAAGTGTGCCCTTTATTTAACTAAGCCCTTTTAATAAGCCATTTATCTTTACACACATATGTATCTATGTTTCGTTGTACGCACAACTTGTAAAGAGGTATTTTGTACAGTTCAGAAAAAAAGACAGTCAGACAGAGTTACTTTCGCATTTATAATATTAGTTTGCATATCTGTCGGATAGTTTGACACGTTGACTTCTGTCGATCAAGACATTCCGTTGACGTTTGTTTAAAAGGTCAACTTCGTTACGTATCTAGATCTTGCTTAATAACCTTTGAGATGTTTACTATAATTGTTGTTTACAACATTGTCAATTACCCTTTTAATAAAATAAAGATTAAAAAAAAACATTGTCAATTAGTGATATTGATATATGGATATCATTTATAATCTAATAAACTATTTATGCAATTATCGTTATTTATCGTAGAATTCTATCTGATGTAGACACATGTACTGTATTCTTGATACTAGCTGATTGTAATATGATTGAGTAACTAATTAATCAAGTATTTTCCCAAGCTATTAAATACTGCCTATAACTGGCGCGTTGTTTAGATTTTCCAAGCGTGATTTTCCTTACTACGCAGTCCTGGAAGTATCGTCGATCTCGATAATTTTCTAGTTATTTTATAATTAGAGATGGTGGTCGAGTATTACCTTGTGTATTTTTATTAATCACTCGATGATAATTTATCGGCGTTGTACGGAACCAGGGTTGATGTGGATGGACTCAGGAAAAATACTCGAACACAGGTTTTAAATTAATAAACTTTAATGGGTGCTAACTTCAAGAGTTAAGTATTGCAAGAGGGGTAATTTTCAGATTTCTTCATAATTTATACATTTCATGAGCGTAAGTTGTTGCTCTGAAAAAACCATCAGGCGCGCGAACATGCCCCCGGGCGTTGAAAGCAACGGTTTCAACCAAACTCCGAAGTCACAGGTAGTGGGCCGACTCGATTGAATGCCCATCGTACGATGCCAGTGGCCGTCTGGCTGTCAGCAACACAAGCGATGTCGTCTGTTTCTGGGTGAACCGCCACCACACGGCCTAGTCTCCACTTCAACGGAGGGAGATTATCCTCCTTAATCGCCACTAAGGAGTCCAGCTTCAATCCATCCTTGCAGGAACAGGATAATCAGGTTGCAGCAAGGTTACGCGTCAGCGGTGTGCAATCTGCAGGATCTGAAGATAAGGCGTTAGTGGATGAAAGTTCGAAATGGCTTCGATTTTAGTTAGTGTGGTGTACAGTTTATTAAAAGTTTAATTACAATATCCCAACACTCGCTTGACGATGTACCTTGTTGACTACACTCGCCTCCCAGAAGGTACCGAAGTGCGGGATGTACGCAGGGATAAAAATGAAATTTAATTCCATCATTCGCGGCACTTTCACCCAAGGCCAAAGTATTTTCCTTTACAAATGAGAAAGGTCATTGTACGCACCGATAAATGAGATACCGTTGTCCGAAAAAATATCAACGGGCTTATGTACCTCCTCAAGCAATCAATCGATGCAAAGCTAGTAAACAACCCTAACTAATTAAATCTCCAACGAAATCCAAATAAAATTAAATGGTTACATACACCTTCACTAGCCTGCACATGCGACCCCGACGACTAGCACACAATAATAGGCCCGGCACAAACAACGCCCGCGCTCTCAAAGGGATAACCTGGACGAAGTCGCTCTCGTGGTAAGTTGCCCAGTATAGGACTAACTACCCGTCCCTTCATACGGTGACATGAAACACACTTATGAGAACAAGCCTTCGCCAAGTTGCGACCTCCTTGGCCAGTATGATTCCCTTATGGGAGCTAATAGCAAATGTGGGCCAGTGTGCATTAAACGTCTATGCTCGAAATTAAATAATTATTTTGTAAAGTGATGTGTGGACTGTAATATAAGGTGTTTTTTATTAAAATGAGACAAAAAAAATGTATTGTTTCCTATGTGATTTAATAAATCCTAATGTAAATAAATTATAATAACGACTAAAATAAATGAAATCACTTTTCGTATCAATGATAATAAATCGCGTTCACTATGCCTAGCCAAGGACTCGCTCAGACTTTTAGGAAACCCTAAACCATCATCGGAAGAGACATACCGACCCAGACCAAGTAACTTGTCGGGCTCGTGAGGTGCAATATCTACGTCAATCGAAGCTGGCAAGTCCCGCGAGACTAATGATTGGCAACAGTGTGTTGCTTTCTTGAAAGAATCTCCCAGAATTGAAGGTTCTTTCTCACATAATCTTTGTTCTGGCAAATCAAATGAACTAACATATTTATGATCATGGGAAACATCTTTACAAAAATTACATTTCAAATTATTAGAG